TTTTTAAAGACAAAAATTTTTGAGGCGAAATACCCAAAAAGAAGTTTGTAAAAAATGAATCCGCCTCAACAATATAGAACTTATCTACAACTTAGATGTTGTCTTGTTTGATCTGATCCAAAAGTGGAGATTTTCCGAAAACGTAAAATCGAAAAATTCGTTCTCAAACTCCATTCAAAATAATAGAACACACTGGATGATTTTGCCTCTTCTTTTTTTGGGCCAGAGATACAAAAGTCTTTTTGGAAATTTGTGATATTGCGATTCAAAAGACGGGTTTTTGGCCTGAATTTCTTGCTCGAAGTCGTATATTTTGGGTTGCTTTCAATTAAAAATGGCAATTTTGAGAAAAGACGCAAAACAAAAGTGGCGATTTCACAGTTTTGCGTTATAAACCGACAAATGTAACTGTGCAGTAAAAGAACTTTCGACTAAAAATCGAGTTTAAAATGTCCCTATTTCAAACTTTTGCGTTTGAAGGTGCATTTTTCGTTTACAAATGCTAATCTGTTCTACATTTCTTTGTGCATTAGATATTTATCTGACTTAAATCTGTTGCTCTGCGTATAGTTTATGCGATCGCTTCAGCAATTGGTGCTGAAAAAAATGCTAATGTAGTCGCATTTGCCTGATACAAAAGCTGAAATTTTGCAAAAGCGTCAAATTTAAGATCAGAATAGGGGTAAAATTAGAAAATCTCTGTTTCAAGTGGGGAGAAACAAGAGGGAAAATATGTTCTTCAAAGCTGCAAATCCCAAGGAAAAACACACTGAAGCATTTTCGCTTTTCTGCGTGGTTTTTGGAGTCTCCAAACTTTGTGATGTTGATATGAAGAAAACATGATAATTTCCCTTGTTCAAAATTTGTCGTTTTGAGGAATACAGAGTAAAATTTAGGATAGGAAAAGTGAAAAAATCTGTTTTTCAAGTGAAATCTTTAAGGTGGAAAGTGCAAATTCCACGGAAAAAGAATCGAACTTTATTGGGCCTGTATAAATGTGTGAGTTTACGATATAAATTACGGGTTTGTGTCCCAATTTCTTGCCCCAAGTTTGGGGTTTTTTGCAAATGAAAGCTGTAATATCGAGAAGAAAAGCAAAACTTGACATGCAAAGTCGCGGTTTCGAAATGTTCAGTTTTAAACGGAAAAGCRTAACATTTGAAGATGCAAATTTCAACTKAGCAAGAAAACATGATGATTTAGTCGCAKTTGTCTTGCATTCTATCTGCAAAATACAGCGTATCAAATTTAAGACGATGGAAATTACATTTACATACATTAAGATGATTGAAAATCCACGTCTMAAGGTGAAAAAGCGGTTGAAATGATGGTTTAGTAATATAAAATGAACRAGATACGTTGACCTTTGTGTGTCTTGTATCAATGAATGTTTTGCCSGAAAAACATACTGTTAAATAGTGAAATACCCAAGACAAACGATCAATATTAAGCTACTTGGAAGTGGCAATTTAATTTGGCTTTCAACTGAATTTGGAACCGAAATTATACCTGTTCATAATTCATCCAGTGCTGTTATCGTTCCACATTGTTATCTTCCAGCGCAGTTCCTCATACTTCAGCCGACTGTAAGCGGACCCTCTAACGCACAGCACTGATTATAATAAGTATTCGGGCAAGGCGTGACAAAGTGGGGTCTGGACTATCTAACAGCCGCCATCTCGTATTTCGCCTTAATCAATTCGGGTGCCAGACTTGGAACTTGGCACTTTCAATCATTCTAATTACAAAAATTTATCAACCTGCCGGATTTCACCGAAAAATTCGCCCAGAGTTGGACAAGAAAGTACGTACTCGTAGGGCGAGGTTCAAGTTGATAACGATCCCCCTGAAAACCTCACTAACTCACTTTTCACCGCACGAAATGCGATATGAGGCGTATTGATTGAGGCGAGCTGCCATAAGTTTGCCCAGTATTACTTCTGCAGGCTGCACTGCGAATTTAAGCCGAGTTTACAGTCAACATGCAAAGTTTAGCGCTCATATGAGGAGGCTCTGCTTGACGGAAATCTCCATTCAAACTTTCTGCAAGTCTCACTAACTTCGATTTGAAAATTCGCTACCTTTATCAGTCAGTATTAGGGAAATTTCCTATTTCAAGAAAATTCCTGGGGATTTCCACCAAAAAACCTTCAAACGATTCTACCTAAATAGCAAATAACATCCTTGCTACACCGCGAGAGTCTTTAAATATTCAAAGTGCATTTAATATTTAATTGCGACACAAACCAGTTGGGTGGACCATCAAACCCAGCGCTCCTGCATAGTTTATTTCTGGCACCTGCCGGGTAAAGGAGTATAAGTTAATTAATGCACTGTTTAAGAGATTGCCGTAAAATTTTAAAGCCCAAGTGGGCCTTTACAGTCCGTTTTGGAAGTCGCCAACTTCGTCGGGCTTTGCATTTTAATAAGGAGTTTATTCCCGCTGTAATCAGATGTTTCAATTACCCAGCTAGAATTGTTTCGCCCATTCTTGGGATTTAATTGCTATCTGGACTTGTTCCACTCAGGTTAGCCAAAGGCTTTAACAGCACTGTTCAATCATCAAACGGGAAATTTCATTTTTGGTTAATATACGAAATGTGTGTCGTATCCTGGTGAATTATGGACGGTTTCCACAATATTGAGCAGATAGGATTATGAATTTTCGAAAAGCAATTAATGCAGCTTTACGTCGTATTTCACTGGCTTTGCATTAAACATCTGTTAGTGCTGCGGCAATAGGAACTATTAGATAAAACATATAGCAACAGCACCGGGCACGTTTGCTGCAAAGCTATTCCCGATCGAAACGTGACTGATACCAAGATTTTTTGCTGCGCCAAACAGTTTAATGGATTTTGAGACCCAATCGCTCGCTGCAAGGAAAAGAAACAGTTAAAACTGCAGCCCGGAATGATTTCCAACCAATTACAGCACTTCTCTCTTTTCCAAATTTAGAGCGCTCTATTTTGTTGTCACCGGAAACTCTCAAAACACAATGGTCGAATAAAAGGAATCAAACTACGGCGATTCGGCAGCGCGCTATTTACGTGCGATTTTATCAGATATTTTAAGCTTCGGTTGCTTAGTGCCTTGTTTACAGTCCAGCGGTTCGAAATTGTAGCTTTAAATTTCGAATCCGGCAACGATAAGCCGTTCTGTCCACTATTTTCGCTGAATTGAACGTACAGTTGCTTAATTTAAGACTCCCAAACACGACGGTGGGCACATGAGGAAACTAACCGACGATGTGAATAATGGATGATACTTTATGGTGCCAAACCGTATATAGTACATCTTACAACACACCTTATTATTTTATAATGTGAATATTTCACACGGCGCTTAGGGCGCAGGAGGTCGTCTTACTTAATTTATTTATCAAAACTTTTTTGAGAAAACTGCCAATATTTCCCTATCGGTAGTTCACTGTCTGTAAAGGACCTTTAATTATCTCTCGAATGATGTAAAAATGAACGTTTTTACTGATGTTGCTTTCGAGAAATGAGCAAAAACGGGACGGAAAACATTAAATTTTTGCATAATCTTGTACCTAAGTGCATGATATTCAAATTTCGCTTTCTGGGGCAAAACTCCTCGACTTAACTCCCTCATATTGGTATA